AGAGAGAGAGAGAGAGAGAGAGAGAGAGAAGCGTGTTGCTACTGTTTGTTTTTGCATTTAAACGAATAAAAAAGCAGGAATAATTACTTATGGGAAACATTTCTTGAATTTGGCTCCCACCACAAGACTCAGACGGGTTGATTATGTCTAAAATATAGAAACCTATTTCCTTATCTTCTTCACGGATGAAATAATTTGGGTACAAGTAAGCAGTGTGGTTTTAAATATATATACTTTATAATCCAATCCAAGTGTTTGAGTAAAAGGAGTTGTTTTAGAATTGAAATTTTATAATTAAAATATCTGTTTTATTTCAGTTAAATAAAACACGAATGGAGAGAAGAAACACAACTACGATGATGTTTGATGAAGTTGCATTGAAACATGGTGGAATGTTAGCAACTAATGGGCACTCCCTCTACAAAAGCCGGGACGTGATTATGGACTGCTTAGGTAGACTACTGTATATGATAATTGAATAATCTGTTTGTTCTTAACACAACAAAAGCGTTGATATAGATTCCATATCAACAATATGTAGGTAGTATAGCTCCGACGTATAGAAGTGTTTTATATACTATACATTTATTTCATAATGCTATTAAATGTAGATCATGGCTAGGCAAAATACCATAGCAGGCCATTGTAATATCAGTAAGGGAATATAACATACAGTAAATTTCATTTCAGACGTTTACGTTTTTTCAATTTCAGATCATATACTTGATCGTACGCCCACCTCACACTACCCAATAACAATTGCTGATGTCGGGACAGCTGATGGATCTACATCAGTGGCGCTTCTAAATGAAATTATTGGTATCATATTTTTCGCATCCGGTCTTCTTTCATTCATGAAAAACATACTTTCATCACATTTTTGACCCATTTTACTATGTCATACGACCATGTCATACATATGGTATATCACACGTGTAATAACACACAAAGGTGCTGCGATTGGTCAAAACCATGATATCATATTCCAACGCTACTACGGGTGCTAGTTTTATTTACTATACCACATGGTACATTTATTGTTATTCTTAATGAATTTAAAATGTTTATTTGTCATTTTTATTCGCATTGCATTTTAAACGGATCACCATCAACAAATAAACTGGCACTTCTTTGGCACTTCTCAGAGTGACAATACTATGATGGAAGTACTTAAATAAATAGACTTTTGTATTCGTTTCCATGACATGTTGAATTCATTTAACTCGTTTATTAAATTCAATATGACATGGACACATGTGCTAGATGCTCTATGTATCTAGAAAGTGTTGTTATGGCACCAGCAGAACAAGAAATAAAGCACTTAATAATGAGTTGGGATAATGGGAAAAGGTCAGAAACCATTTTGCATGCATTGAACAAACATGCAAACTGTGTTGACCAAAACATATGCAAACAACAGCACAAACTGTGTTCAGACAAGAAAACAAAATGAGCATGCAACAAATAGTAGAAGCGGTGCTTACAAGTATTTAAAAGATGTGTCAAGTCACGAGGTAGCTAATTCGTCATATAGAACTGCAAAAAGATATTGCAATAATGGTGCAAATTAGCATCGTGGAACACGTTACGAAAATCAAGTTTAATAAAAAAAAAACATGACACCCTAATGGTCATGGGATAGATAACAAAGACTATTTTGAAAAAATCAAATGAAAGATAATTTGACTAATTTATCTTATACGAATTACCTAGTGATGTCATTAACGGGATATTACAAAATGCAATATTAATTATTTCTTTACTTTCAATATTTCAGAAAGAATCCAATCTCACACTGGCAAATCTCGTCAGATTATGATTCACTACACAGATCAACCGACGAATGATTTCAACAGAATGCTCAATGTCATAAACGGTAAATGAAACTTTTGTTACATTTTTTAATTGGAAAAGCATGCCAAGATGATTCTGAATAATTTATATATTTTACTCTATTTCTATTTTGTTTTCGTTTGCTATGAATGTTATAGCAATATAAGTATGCAATGGAATATTGCATTAAAATACGCTTTTAACATTCTTTCCTAAGTATACAATGGGAAGATTACAATTTCATAACAAACAGTTTGAGAATTACTCCCAGTAAAGGTTATAATAGAAACATGCAAAAACGAATTATAAAAGTACATCAGATGTGTATCTAAATGATTTTTGAGTCATCTTAGCTCGCTAAACGAACATGACAACGAACCACCGTTACTTTCACGTTTACATGTGATGTAATTTCCATTGACGAATTTCTTCAACTCAGATCAAGCCGGTCTTAACCTTGGCCCCGATGTTTTCTGTTCTGCTGTTGGACGAACGATGTTCGAGCAGTGTTTACCAGATGCATCAACTGATCTGATCTTTTCAGCTATTGCAGCGTTTAATTTGTCAAAAAGGTGATCTATATAACGACCTTCCACAATAATCCTTCCAATATACGACCTTACATTTACATATCTGTAATAAATATTTAACATCATTATATGCACTTTAAAATCAGTATCTGGTCGCATTTCTTCTTGGTTCCCTGATACGAGGGCCATTCAATAAATGACACTAGTGTCAGAAATCACAAGTATGTTGTATATATATAGTTTGATCTTTCTATTACATTCCTTCGACTTATTCCCCTTAGAAGAAACGGTCTGTCGTAATCGCGCTATCCATGACGAAATACCGCCTAGTAGTCTCCCTTGCTATACTGGTGAGACATTAGAAGATTGCACTATCTGAAACACTCCTAGCGGTAAACCATCTTCCAGATAACATTTGCTTCAGTAAAGGAAACAGGAAGTATTTACAAGGACTTCAATCTGGTGAATAATGTTAGTGGTCAAACCGTGCTACCCTCTGTTCCTTCAAAACGCCGATACAAAATTGCTTTTGCGGGATGAGACATTGTCGTGAATAAGCTTGCTGTCATTCAACCCTTTACTTGTTCAAGTCGAATCTTTTGACATACTTCAATACTTTGTCCCTGAACCACTGGCGCACTCGCATACGCAACCTTCTTGTTATACGTCTTTAAACACTGGCATTGCTTTAAATCTCGACACCCATTGCTTGTTATTGATACGCCTCTGGGGTTCAAAGTAAAACAGTCCGGTCTCGTAACCTGTAAATAACTCAGATAGCTTGTTTAGAGTCGAAACGATCGTACCTTTCAAATATATCTATCAAAGTTTTAAACGATTGACCTATTGTTCAGATATCTACAAATGGGGGTTCAGCGGGTATACATATTCTTAAATTTCACTTGGTAGGAGTTTGATGTGTCCAGCTTTCTGAAATGCCAACCATATGAGATATTTCAGAAACAGGATAACAAACATCATCGGTAATCATTGATTAATATAGGAGGGTATTTGCAGATTTAGTTTCAACCTTCATTTTAGTATTGCAAAGTAGCCACTAGTCACTAGTGCAAACATGTACCATTCAACAATGACAAACTGGTTTAATCAGGTTAAGTCAAAAATGTGTACGAGCATTGCTCTTTAAATGCTTTTGCAGTCTGCTTATTGTACGGGAGCGGTGTGGTGACAAAATTTATCAAATTGCTCATACCACAATACTAGTTTAAATGTATTTTTTTTCAATTACCTAAAAAGGTAAAAATGTCTGTTTCCATTCACTGCTATCAAATTAATTGTCAAAACAAAACAAAACGAGTAACAGTTAACTAAACGTTTAAATTTAGCCCTTGTCAGCTGCAAGATGGCCTTAACCCAACCGAGGCAAATTCACAAGAAATAGACGCCTACAATTCCCAGGCAGCCTCAGACTGGAAAACCTTTTTGATAATGCGGGGACGGGAGCTTCGCCCAGGTAAAGTACAAATACATCTAAGCATGACTTTAAAAATATATTTATGTGTGAATCGGTGTTTAAATCAGTTTTTGTAATATATCAACGTGGTATCCTGCAATACTCAGACTAGAACAAATGTACAAGCACCTTACACATCAAAACGTCAGATGTCAACTTCTTTTTCAAAATTATTTCAAAAGCAAAAAATAAATTCACTTATAAATGTATATGTCAGTGAAAACATGTGATTTTAAAGAAACGACGGGTAATTTATCTTTTTTAAAGAAAAAAACAGTAAACCTTTTCAAAGGCGCCCAAACGTTGTGAGTAGCATAGATATAGTAAAAATAATGCAAAAACATAAGTCTTGTTCAAAACTATGAATAAGTGTTTGCATGGATATATTTGCATGGATATTTTTTTTATCAAACAACCGCTTAAAAAGGAATTTGTCGAAAGCAATTTAAAACAATAGTAAATGTTTTTTAACTCACCTGGTCCGAAGGACCATGGTGAGCTTATGCCATACCGCAGCGTCCGTCGTCCGTCGTCTGTCAATTTTTTCTTTAAAACGCTACTAGTCCTGAACGGCCAAGTAGATTTTGACTATTTTGACATTGGTCATACAACATATTATCCTTAAGATGACACATTTACCGAATACCGATTTTTTTTCGAAATTTTTACTATCGTCAATCAACATAATGTGCCAAATAATATCCAAAGTATGTTGGTGTACAAAAACCGGAGATATATCTATCACTTCCGTAAAGATCCGAAACAACTAAAAATGTACATAACATACTAAACTTGTATGTGTGTGAGACTGTATAACTTTTTTATTTTGCAACATCTAGCTTTATAGCTGAGCTCATCATGAGCAGCAGACCTTATTGATGAAAATTTGATCAGTTGCGATAATATATTGGTGCGACGTATTGTTAAATGATCAAACATGACTATAGGTAATAAAGTTGTTGGATTTTATTTGGAAATAGACGTTGCTACAATTTGACATTTATATGACAAATTTACCGGTTCTCAAATTTTCTGAAATTTTCACTATCGTATCTCAACATAATGCACCAAATAATATTAAAAGATTTTTGGTGTACAAGAATCGGAAATTGGTGTTTTACTTCCGTAAAACAATTGATGTAGCAAAAAAGTGTATAAAAATACCAACATTTTTAGAGTTTAAGATTTTAGGATTTTTTTATTATGCAATGTTTTGTTACATATTTGAGTTCATAATTGGCAACATATCCTACTTTAAATAATATAATAATTTTTGATAGCGTAAAACATTGTTTTGATAGCTTTTTGGACAAATAAGTGAACCCTGTCGTACACCTTTGGAAGGCGGCACTAAATAGTTCATAGCACAGGCTCTGGGGACCTTTTTAATTTTTAAAAAATATATCATGGGTTGTGTCTTAGGGAGCTACAAATATAACCCAGTAATGGTTAAATTGCTTTGTGGGCAAAATTCTTTTGTTGCATCCTTAGGCCAAGGGGACTCAATTTTATATAAACGTTGGGTGTGGCCCCTCTGGGGGCAGAGGGGCGGGCCCAATAGGGGAAATAAAGGTAAAACTTTAAAAATAATTCTTCTTCCGTAGGGATTTAAGGATTTTATCCTAATTTAGTCGGGGAGCATCCTTGGGCCAAGGGGACTCAATCTTGTATAAATGGTTGGTCTGGCCCCCTGGGGGCTGAGGGGCAGGCCCATTAGGGGAAATATAGCAAATTCTTTAAAATCCTTCTTCTTCTGTAGGAATGAAAGGATTTGTTCCATATTTGGTCTGCACCATTCTTGGGTGAAGGGGAATCAAGTCTGTTTAAACCGTGGGTCTGGCTCTCCAGGGACCTGAGGGGCGGGGCCCAATAGGGGAAACATAGCAAGTTTTTCTTTATAATCCTTCTTCTTCTGTGGGGATGAAAAGATTTGGTCCATATTTTGTGTGTAGCATCCTTGGGTCAAGGGGACTTCATTTTGTATAAGCAGTGGGTGTGGTCTCCCAGGGGGCAGAAGGGCGGGGCCCAATAGGAGAAATAGAGGGAAAACCTTTAAAATCCTTCTTCGACAATCGGGATTAAGGGATTTTACATACATGCCATAATTTTCCGGAGCAATATATTGAGATCAGTGATTAATTTTAGTGAGGTTTGGTCAAAAATAGTGAGATTTTTTCTGTGAATTAGTGAGAAATTCGCGAGACATATAAAACATAAATTATCTATAGCATATAACTTAGTATTGAATCATTTGTGTTATGCTGAAGCCTCTAATTACTTTGTTAGAGCCAAAATTGAAGATTTATTGATATTTTAAAGGATTTTAGGAAGGTTTACACGTGACATACGGTCCAGATAAAGCTATCAATATCTAAAAGTAAATAAATCACATAAAAGGCAAAATATAAGAGTAATTAAAAAAAGAAAAAATTCTATAGGGATGTCCTTGTTAACACAGGTTTGAAATAATAATAATCAAAACATTGGGAATATTTAATATTAACTTGTTGGGAAAAAAATAACCAATAACTACTATTTTTATATATCCAATTCTGAAGAAACTTGTTTTCTTCTGTTCATTATATTTTTATTAACACTCAATCCCATCCAGACGGCAAGAGAATGAGTTCCGGATTCAATGTCAGTGTCCGGTTTCGATTTGATAGTTACCTCCAACATTTCCGTCTCAGTAAACCATGTTTTCATTGTAATGAATTAACAGCTCTTATTTTGCTGTTTAATGTTAATATCAACTGTCATCACATATTAATTAGCAACTATCCCCCACTGGATGTGGGATCACTGATTTAAATGCTTCACAGTTCATACATCGGTGAACAAGTCACCAAGCCATGTCCCGCTAAATCGGCTGGCCGGGCCATTCAGAACGTTCACACTTATGCTGCTAATTGGCCTGGCCTGTAATTCATATATACTTACAGCACCTACCATGGAGTGCTATATCTTTACTTCATACCAATTATATTAAACATATTCAGGTGAGCGATACAGGCCCTCTGGGCCTCTTGTATTCGTATTTATTTGACGACAATTGTCCGCACATTTAAAACATTGATTTTAAAGGAGGATACATGGTGGTACTTAATATTGGAACCACGAAACAAGGAGAGGTGACAGTGAATATAAAAGGTGGAATGAATACTATGTCGCATGTATTACGCAATTTGCTGGAAGATGACCTAATTTCTAAGGTGAGATGTATTGCAATACTTCGTCTTTTTCTGCATACTTTGAGATCATCTACACGGAAATATGACGCAATGATTCACCGATTTTTAGTAAACGAAGACACAATTTGTTTTTTCTTTCTATGTTTGATGTAAGCATTTGATAAACGATATTCACATATCTATTTAAAAAGAACTGAAGATATATGAATAACACGAATACATTATTTTGCATACTCTATCTTTTGTATATTTACTTATAGTATGTTTCGTAAATATGATCCGATGAACCCTCTTTCGTTGCTGGACTTTTGTTGGAGAAATATTGGAGCTTTATTCAATAATTACAGGAGGAGTTCCTAAACTGTAATGTTAAAGCTGCATACTACAGAACAGAGGAGGACTTTGCTTTGCCGTTCAAAGACAACGACAAGGACATAGAAGAAACGGGTTTGGAACTGGTTTCTACGCGATCATTCGTTAGCAAACTGGACCATCCTTCCTTCGATGTATCCAACAAAGGTCATTTATTTACTACGTAAACCACGACAATTCCCTACTTGTATTGTTAAATGAACAAGTAATTGTCAGAATGAATGTCAACATCCCCCCCCAAAAAAAGTTTCTGATGCTTTTTTTTATTTTTTATTTTGTTCTTTTTAAGTACTCTCATTTTAAAGGAAATATGAGGACGATATCACAATGCAAAATAAATGCATATGTATTTTTTTCATTTCAAGAAATTTTATTTCATTTAAAAAAAGGATTGAACAACAGGCATAGCCTATATTAGTTCTCTCCTAAAGGTAACAGTGGCTGTATAAATATATATATATAAATAATAAAGTATGTTGTTTTTTTAAAAATTTCAGTATGAAACATAAAATGTTTAAATATGAAATATGAGCTTGGAAGAATGCATATGTATTCAATATGATAGCAAGCCAGATCATCGATGTCAGTGCCTGCAAGCAAGCGTAATATTTGTGATGTCATAATCATGATAATTTCAACAATGACATCAAACTAATGCCCCCTATATGACAAAAGTAAACATTTATGTAATTACATATTATATGACAGATGTGTTTTGTTTTTGTTAATAGTTTTCGAATTCCGGTCATATAATATATCTTGAAGATCTGTTTTATTACCAAAATGATACACGTTTATGGTATAATCATTCATTTTGCATACAGATGTTGTTTGGATATGCATGCAAGTGATAATCGTACACGTTTCAAGTATTTGTACTGCTTTTAGGTAATCATGTTTTAATATACCTTTTTTTTCTTTTTTGTAATAAGATGATGCCACCAAAAAGATGTACGCAGAGAGAATTGTTGCTGGAATCAAGCCATGGCTGTTTGGTGATATCTATAACGGGTTATCATGCAAGAGATCACAACAGGAAAGAGAAAGCCTGGTTGAAATATATTTCTCGAGGTTGTGGGATTTTGCTTACAAGAACGACGACCAAACTCCACAATTGGGCTTAATAGAAGTCGTCGCTAGGAAACGTGTATGAGACAGCATATGACGACATGGACGGGATACATTTACAAACAAACTCCATTATATACGTCTTGGTTAAATATGTTTCTAACACTAGCATTTTTTTTAACACTGATCAGTAATATAGATTGGATTTATAAATCAACACGGATGAGTGCATTTATCATAGACACTCTTGTTTAAGTATGAGAGTTACGTAACACTTTCTTGCATTATATCATCCTATGTAAACCATAATATCTAGAAAGCATTCATCGTTTATTTGTAAGCAACCGGTAGAGTATATGGCGATGAAGAGAAATGCATGATGTATTATTAAAAGTTTTTTTCCGATGTGTAGTGATGCCATTGTTTTTAATGAAATATCTTTAGCTATCTGCATGTATATTTAACTGAACCAGCGTCCGAGTAAGCAGTTTTCCTATTGAATTTGATATGTCATCAAAAATAACATACGGTAAAAGTGTACTGTTTCGAATGTCTTTATTCAGTAAACAAACCCCCGGAGAGGGTAAAATTCTACAATACAAACAAAATACAAACAAAGAGGTATTTGAAAATCTAATCAAATGGACAATACCACATTAATTGTAGGATATAAATCAGACTAGGTCTGATTACTCTATAAATGATAACCTTCATAACATGCTTACATTGCTATTTACAATATAGCTCACTTTAGAAACAGTATATGGCTACACGGTTGCATTAAACGTAGTTTTAAAACAACCTATGTTCAAAATACCGTGTACAAATTCACGCTATGGACTGTTTTCCCCATAAATCAACAGCAGCGAGTCATTTCGCACTAGGAAAGTTTTCAATGGAAACTCATCACAAGAACTGAAAATGGTGTACGCCTTTCGCGCCAGTCAGAATTATAAAGGTGTAGCGACACCAACTGTCAATGATTGGGCCTAACGCTGCCAAAACGGCCGCTTCCCGAACGGAGCGAGGTTATCGCCCCGTTACCGGCCAATAAACTGGTACTAGATATACTAGTGGTACACTCGTCTGTTGGATAACCAAATCACTTCTAGTGAAGCGAACGAAAGACTACTCAAACAAACAAAAATCAAACGGGACCAGTGCGGCAATACATCTATAGTTTCTACCTAGACGATATAAATATCATATAATGATATAAGTCTGTAACTAAACTTATAAAGCCGTGTTATATCACGAAATAAGATAAGAGGGACAGATTTGCTAACAAATAGATTATTATACATACGCATTTAATACAATTGCTTTTTGATATGTGTAAGTTCAAGTAGTGTGGAAAAAGAACAGAAAATGATGTTCGCCTCTCGCGACAGTCTGAATTATAAAGGTGTAGCGATAGCAATTGTCAATGTTACGTTACAAAAATGGAGACTGTTATAGAGAGGGGTGTTGTTGGCAAAACACATATGTGACAGGCATGTGTAATTGTCACGATATTAATAGTAAAAAAGCTCCAGACAATCAAATGGGAGAGAAAAGGAATAGTTTACTCACGACGCAATAATACCTTGAATGAGCTCGCACACACCGACTATAGTCTAAAAATAAATCGACTGGACCGAACTACCTTGCTGTGCATACGACTGTTACCAGTTGTCCATTATTATGCAGTCACCAGGCATAAATATTGGGTACCCAAATTCATTGGTCATCGATAATGCATGGTAAAAAACCTGAAGCATGATATCAGCATTTGATGGACCTTCAATAACGTCGAAATAATTAATCCAAATAATTCGCAACACAGATTGGCTGTGTATGCTACACACTTTCCTTACCGACAGTCCTAGCAACCGTAAGCTAAAAATAGATCTATCGGACAGGTGAAAAAAGCACACACGGCTGTAGCACTGATGTACCGATAAACTGACTCGCTGGGTTTATTCAAGGTAATATTGCATCGGCAGTAAGAGGTGGTATTTATTTGAAAAGTATGCTAAATTTGATTGAGGCTCGGATTAATGTTACGTGAAATACGATTAGAATATCGCCGGAGCAAAAGGCTAGTGGATGTAATTATAGCCACAATTAGGTGTGTCACTTACCTTCACGCTCTACATAGCATCATCTATGAAGAGATACTGGTATGGAGTAATATATTTAACAACCTGCTCACGTTCAAGGCCAAAAGTCACGATATGACTTCGAATGAAAGTAACTGATATCTACTTGACACCAATTACACCAGTGCCTGGGGGTGTTCATAAACTAACATTTAAATTCCAATGTATTGAATGACAACACGACAGTATTAGATTAGAACGAACTACTTTAACAGCTTTTAATGGTCAAAAGGGACAAAACACATGACATCCATTGCTTCCAATCAGGTCGTTGGGGTTGTTAACTGGTAACACAGATACAAGTCTTGTCACAAATGAAACCTTGTCCTAGCAGGAATAAGAGGCCAAAACTTTGTTTTTCTTTCTTAAAAACAAAACTACATTAATAATATACCAAAGATTCGGAGGTCCCGCCAGCGGAATAACATAAACATGTTTATGTGTAAAAACTCTATGGTAGCCGACATATAAAATCTGAGAAAACTGATGTTATAATTAGGGACCAAGTAGTAACTTTATGCAAAGGACGTGATCATAAGTGTCGTAGGGTTGATTAGCAGTTTCTTTTCATTATTTTATTGTTGTTATAGTTTTGAACAATACCACACACTCAAAAAATGTGAAAGTGATAAATTTGACAAAAAATCCACTTTTCGGTATTTTTTACAAAAACGGAAAGCTTAGATTGTCATAAAATCATCTCTACATAGTGACATGACCATTATGTGAAACTTTAATTCAATTCTGCTGGTTAATTGCAAAAGGGTGGAGACTACTTAAGCATATCAATCTTCCATTTGTTCATATGATGTCTAAATGTAAGCGAACCATCAAAATGAATGAAAACCGGAAATGACACAGTCTGAAGATATTTTTTTTTCTTTTTTTCTTTTCTATATTTGTCTAACGCAACGGAAAATATATGGGATTTATCTAAATCATCAGCTAGGAAATGTCTATTAGATAGCACGATGAAATGACAAAAAACATTTACAACACAATCTCGCATCCAGAAATACGAAACTCTAAAATATGATACATTGGATATATTGCTAACAATAAAAAAAACTTACACAAATAAACACGAACGAGTGTCATAATAAACGACATATGCTTATAATTACGATATGCATTGTAATTCAAATAAGAATATACATTACATCAGTTTTAGCAGATCAATGTATCAAGAAAGTATTCATATTTTTAAATGGCCAACCTGTGATACAGGATTGACAGGTATAGTATACTGATGAGTTCTAGTGTGATACAGGACAGACAGGTATAGTATAGTGATGAGTTCTAGTGTGATACAGGATGGACAGGTATAGTATAGTGATGAGTTCTAGGGTGATACAGGACAGACAGGTATAGTATAGGGATGAGTTATAGTGTGATACAGGATTAACAGGTATAGTATAGTGATGAGTTATAGTGTGATACAGGACAGACAGGTATAGTATAGTGATGAGTTCTAGGGTGATACAGGACAGACAGGTATAGTATAGTGATGAGTTCTAGGGTGATACAGGACAGACAGGTATAGTATAGTGATGAGTTATAGTGTGATACAGGATTAACAGGTATAGTATAGTGATGAGTTATAGTGTGATACATGATTAACAGGTATAGTATAGTGATGAGTTCTAGTGTGATACATGATTAACAGGTATAGTATAGTGATGAGTTCTAGTGTGATACAGGATTGACAGGTATAGTATAGTGATGAGTTCTAGTGTGATACAGGACAGACAGGTAATACAAAGTAACTTGCAACTAAGCTTGGGACAAAAGCGTTGTTAAGCCAAGTAAAGAACTGGAAACGTTAATCCCTTGCGATGGATTAAAAAGTGCACCATAATAGTAACATCGTTAGATTTGTTTCCTATATTTTTGCCTATTGCGAACAAAGCATGGTAAACTTAGTTTTTACAATGTTAGATATACTCTGGTTTAATTTGCATTTGTTTTTATCTGATGTCGGCAGGTAAAGCCTTCACTGTTTACCTGAATTTTATAATTCAATCAAACAGGCTGAGACAATTCAACACTGCATTTCCCCAATGCAGCTTATGCAATAATGCGATGCCTATGGTGAACAAATTTCAAAACTTGTTAATTTGTGTAAATGGCTGTAGTGCAGATATTAGCCATGAAACATGCATGTCTTCACAAATGCAGATAATGGCATGACGTGATAACCATTGCAATACACCTTAGATTGACGAAACAATTCTCTCTCAGTTATGTCATTTGAGTAATGACACGGGTTTTAACATGAATACTTTACTATTTATCAATTTTAAATTAACCAGTATCCTTATTTTGACAATCATATATTGAAAAGGGTTTTATGCACCTTCCATTCGGTTTTAACAATAGTTTTGAACACATTTGAATTTCCAACTTATCGGGTTCTAGCATCACCGATGACTGCTAGAAGGATAGAATAGTTGTATGACGAAGTGCAAGTTATTTTTGCATGTTGTATCTATTATAAACTTATAAACCTGTGGTGCTTTGTGTGTGTGTCTTAGATTAATCTTTCTACTCTATAAAGCATAACATTTGAATAAGTAGTAAACATAAAGCCTTTCACATCGCTATCATCAACCTCACGACAAAGCGTTACTGCCTACAATGTGGAGCGTCGTATCAAGTGACACATTCTCGTGGGAATTTAACATTACTAGACCCATTAAAAGGGCAGTGCTCTGAACCTTTTGTAATCCTATGATGTAAAAAGCTGTCTGTGTTGTTTCTGAAGCATGTGTCATGCTATTTATTACTGAAATTACTTGATCATATTCTATTGTTACCTGACTCGCTATATAAATGCATATAAATCAATTTCGACTGTTTCCCAGACAATTCACCAAACGAACTATAGCTAATGTGTAAACTGTTGACTGGTCACGTGTTAGGTAATCGAACGCACCTATAATTACAAGCACCCCGATGATCAAGCGTTTTTGGTACTGGATTGTTGACGGTCGTCTGTCAGTAGATCTAAACATAACATTCGACATGGAACTTTTTGTTTTTCATTGGTTAAGTAACAAAACAGTTGTTTCATGCCTTATCAGTCAACAGTCAAAACCATTTTCCCGAGGAGTTGGGACCCACCAGATGAACTGTTTCCCGAGGCATATAACAACTGTATACTGTAACACCACGTACCAAGAGGAGACTGCATATACAAATACAAATGCTAGCGTAATATTACAACATAAATATCCATGTCACTGTCTTAAATGTAGATTTGCATTAG